CTTCAGGGGCACAGTTAACCGAGCAACCTCAATTTGTGACGCTATGGCTGAATCCTGCTAGCAAAATAGTGGCTCTCTGGAAACAGGTTCCACTCTGCATATCCTGCTGTTTCTGTTGTGAATGCGAACTTCTTGGAAGACACCCTGCACTCCTTACTCAGACATTATAATGGGGGGGGGGGGAGTGATAAAGGAAGAAGCCAGAACACAGTAGATGAAGGTGGAGAGAGAGAGAGAGAGAGAGAGAGAGAGAGGGAGGGAGAAACCTGAAGGAACTGGTGAAGGTCTATGTGTATTGATTTTGCCCTCTCTGTGTTAGAGCACATCTGCAGCAGGGTGAAGAAGGGAATGGAGGAAGCTTAGAAGCAAAGGGGTCAGTATCCTGTCAGAATAGATGTGTGAGGAATTGTCTTTTGGAAAAATGAAATACAGTGGTACCTCAGGTTATAGACGCTTCAGGTTACAGATGCTTCAGGTTACAGACTCCGCTAACCCAGAAATAGTACCTCGGGTTAAGAACTTTGCTTCAGGATGAGAACAGAAATCCTACTCCGGTGGCGCGGCAGCAGCTGGAGGCCCCATTAGCTAAAGTGGTACCTCAAGTTAAGAACAGTTTCAGGTTAAGAATGGACCTCCGGAATGAATTAAGTACTTAACCCGAGGTACCACTGTAGAGTTGAGATGAATTAAAGAGATTCTGCTGCCATATTGTACGGAGAGGCAGGAGGCAACGGCACCCCCCCCCTCACTTTTTTATTTTTTGTTCCTCTAGTCCCTTGTTTTGGTCTTCCTTCATAGCTGGGTTCTGGAAGAAGTTCTCTGCTGGGTGGAATTATTATTAGTGGGGGTCATCCAACGTTTATTTAGTGCCAAGCCTCACAGTTCAGGGCTGGCGGTGACAGCTGAGAGAGCCGGTGTGGTGGGCAAAGTTGAACTATGGAACTCCTTCCCACAAGTGGCCACCAACTCAAAGGGTTTAAAAGAGGGTTAAAAGAGGGTTAGACAAGTTCATGGAGGACAAAGCTATCAATGGCTATGTCAGTGATCATACTGAGGAGCTGCTTTGAGGAAGAATAGTGGGAGTCTCCCCCCCTCCCCCTACTCCTGAGCAGGATCCTGTATCTTCCCAGGAGCATTTCTGGGCTTTTCTCCAATGAATTCTTTATTGTGAATTTCTATTATAGTGATCTGTTTGTACTTTTACTTTTTCTTCATTTCTTCCATTTAATAATAGATTTGGAACACTGGTTTGCCGAGGGACGTGGTTCAGAAGGCAGAAGCTGGGAAGTACTGGATGGGGAACAGCTAGGAGCAGAAGAACTGGGAGAGAGAGAGAGTTAACAGACTCTCTTTCACTGGAAAGCGTCCATCCGCTCAGCCCAAGGTCAAGAAGAGCAGATAAGGTGGCAGCGCAGAAAGCAGAGTGGTTGTGAGATCAGGTTGCAGGACGCGGAAGTGACATGGGTGACAAGAGGGGAAGTGGGTGGGACCCTTAATTGGAAGCACCTTCATTCCTAGGAATGGATCCTTTGTTCTCTCGCTGTGATCATTAAAATCTCTAACAGGTAAGAGATTCCTTTTGCTTTGTTCTGCTTATCTACTGCCGGGGGCGGGGGGGAGTTGAGTACCTGAAGCCTGACAGGCTGCTAGCCAAGATGGACACATTCCACCTCCTGGAAACCAGAGAAGAGGAGGTCATTACTTGGCCGCTGTGACAACCGGATGCTGTGCCAAATAGGCCTTTGGCTTGATCTCGCAGAGTTCTGCTTATGTTCTTATCAATTGGTAAAGCACCCTCTAGACCAGCCTTTCTCAACCTGTGGGTCCCCAGATGTGGTTGGACTACAACTCCCATCACCCCTATCTAGCAAGGCCAGAGCTCATGGATGATGGGAGTTGTAGTCCAACAACATCTGGGGACCCACAGGTTGAGAACCGCTGCTTTAGACTGTGCTACTTTGGAATACAGATGGTGAGGAAGTTTTTTTTCCATGTTGCAAATGCTCCCCTTCCAGAAGAGGAGGAGGAGGAGGAGGATGAGACCTCCCTGCACCTAGAAACATAGCTTTGAATTTGCCTGAGTTGTTCATTTTCCTACATGCAGGGATTTCTCTTTTTTCTATATCAGGGAGCATTCAGACATGCAGTCCAAAAGTGGTACAGTCATATGTATAAACTAGCCCTTTTGCTGTGTGTATAAACTGGCCCTTAGGTCCAGCGGGGTTCTATATTGTTAAGATTTCAGCCAGACAGAAATCAACAGAGCGTCCTTCTGTAGTGAACATACAAAGGGCTGCGGGCTTTCATCTTCTGGCAGGACACATCACATGCATTTCCTGGTGGTGCAACCGGTTAAAGTTCAACAGCTGCCTGAATTTTCACCATTGAATCTGCAAGCCAGAAAAAGCTGGACCTGTTGGATTTCCGTCAGTCATACAGGTGTTATAGCCAGGAAATAAAGTGACAACGCTCTCTGCAGCTCACCTGGTGCAGCAGACAAGCTTATCCGGGTACAACCTCTCCAGGCAGACTCAGACAATCTTTTCCCATTTTGCCTCAGCTTGGTGGAAATGTTCCGTGTTTGTTTGCATTCTGTGTTTGAAGGAGTTACCAAAAAGCTTTAATAATGGCCCTTTCTAGCCAAAATGAGCTGTTGGAACCCTGTGAGTGTACATCTGCTCCCGCCTGGTTTTTTTAAAATAATAAAAAAAGCATTTGGGTTAAAACAGAAGGAAATAGTAACATCTGTTCTCTAATGAGCATTTTGATATCCTTATTTTAAACTCCAAGAATGCAGTGATTCAGATTTTCCTGCTTTCACTCATTAGCCATTACCCAACTTGCAGCCTGAAGCCCGCTATTCCCTGTGCGACAGAAGGCTTGCCAGACAATTTGGAGGAGGAGAGAGAGGTCCCCGTCTCATTTGCAACCTCCTGTTGGAAAGCCCAAATATCCACCGTACGCAGACCTTCCCCGCAAAGTCTTCCCTTCCCTCCAGACTGCCGCCGTTTTGCAAGAGGGATTCAATTGCATCCTGGCAAATTTAACTTTGTGCAATTAAAGTGGATTTAATTGCAACAGTGAAGGGGAAATGCACTACAACTTGTGAGATGCTGAATGATGGGTGCAAATTCAGATGGGTGCCTTCAGGTGTCTTCTAAAAGTTTGGTAGTTTTTTTCCTCTTTGACATCTGGTGGGAGGGCGTTCCACAGGGTGGGTGCTACTACCAAGAAGGCCCTCTGCCTGGTTCCCTGTAACTTGGCTTCTCGCAGTGAGGGAACTGCCTGAAGGCCCTCGGCGCTGGACCTCAGTGTCCGGGAAGAACGATGGAGGTGGAGATACTCCTTCAAGTATACTGGACCGAGGCCGTTTAGGGCTTTAAAGGTCAACACCATCACTTCGAATTGTGCTCGGAAACGTACTGGGAGCCAGTGTAGGTCTTTCAAGACCAGTGTTATATGGTCTTGGCGGCCACTCCCAGTCACCAGTCTAGCTGTCGCATTCTGGATTAGTTATCGTTTCCAGGTCACCTTCAAAGGTAGCCCCACACAGAGCGCATCGCAGTAGTCCAAGCGAGAGATAACTAGAGCATGCACCACTCTGGCGAGACAGTCCACTGGCAGGTAGGGTCACAGCCTGCATACCAGATGGAGCTGACAAACAGCTGCCCTGGTTACAGAATTGACCTGCGCCTCCATGGACAGCTGTGAGCCCAGAATGACTCCCAGGTTGCACACCTGGTCCTTCAGGGGCACAGATGCCCCATTCAGGACCAGGGAGTCCTCCACACCTGCCCACCTCCTGTCCCCCCAGAACAGTACTTCTGTCTTGTCGCGATTCAACCTCAAAGTCGAATAACCTCCACAAAAACAAATCAAAATGAAATGAGGATAAAATAAGGAGAAAGAATACTATGTGCTAACATGAGCTAACTTTGAGGGAAAGGTGGAGTGTAAATAAATATAATAGACCTCATTCTTCCTGACAGAATAAACGATACAGGGTTGAAAGGGCCAGTCGCCTGTCAATTTAAGACAGCTGTCATTTTAAGAGGTACATCAGCACTATAATCCCCACCAATCTTTTATTGTATCACTTCAGTTCTTGTGGTTTCTCCCAAAGAACCCTGGGAGTTGTAGTTTGACGTTGATTCGGAACATCCTCTGTCCGAAAATCCCAGGCTCCGCCTCTGCCACTTAGGAACCCTGGGAAGTGTAGTCCTGTGCGAGAATGACGGTTACACCCGTGGTGCGGATGTCCGAGCAATAGCTCTGTATGGGTTTTTCACATCATAGACTTGGAGAGGATATTTGCCCAGGGAGAAATGCCAGTATGCAATCCAGTTTTTCACTCGGAAGGTTTTTTATTTGCTTTGTTTAAACTTGTGATGTCCTTTAAAAGATGTATAATAATTTACATGTTTTAAAATAATAATAATAATAATAATAATAATAATAATTTATATAATAATTTGCATGCTTTAAAATAATAGTAATAGTAATAATAATAATAATTTATATAATAATTTGCATGCTTTAAAATAATAGTAATAATAATAATTTATATAATAATTTGCATGCTTTAAAATAATAGTAATAATAATAATTTATATAATAATTTGCATGCTTTAAAATAATAGTAATAATAATAATTTATATAATAATTTGCATGCTTTAAAATAATAGTAATAGTAGTAATAATAATAATTTATATAATAATTTGCATGCTTTAAAATAATAGTAATAGTAGTAATAATAATAATTTATATAATAATTTGCATGCTTTAAAATAATAGTAATAATAATTTATATAATAATTTGCATGCTTTAAAATAATAGTAATAGTAATAATAATAATAATTTATATAATAATTTGCATGCTTAATAATAATAATAATACCGAGAGGGATTTGCACCCCAGCTTGCCTGCAGCTTCGCTCGTCTCCAATGCGGAACAGCCTCTTGAGTTCTGCAGACACTGCCCTCTCTCCCTAACTCAATTAAAGAAATATATTGTGGGCCTTTTTAATTTCCCTGTGTGACGCTGGGAGACGAAAGCTGGAGAAGTTTGCCAGGGGGCAGCGCGGAGATGAGAATGTCAAGTCCAGTGAGGGACGACGGAGGAACAGAAGCGCGGCGCTCTCCTCTGAAGGGCCTGGGAGTTCTCGCGTTTCAGCTCTGGCTGCCGAAGGCGCTGAGCTGCCGTGTAAAATGAGGTCCCCGGGGTCCCTCGCCGACACAACAGTATCTGAAGAGTCCCAGTCAATTACCATCGGACGGGGCTCTGTCATTTCCATTCCGCCTCCCGCCTTTCCGCGACGGGAATGAAGTCTCGGGATCTGACTACCTCCCGTGCGGCGAATTAATTGGATCGGTGCATTCTGCTATGGCTCTCCTTTCTAGGACGGGCAAAGAAGATGGGAGGAGAAGAAATTCTGGGATTCGTTCTGGGCGAGAGGTTTCCGAGAGGCATAAAAAGGAGCCCTGCTGGGTCAGACCAAAGGCCTGGTCTTAGTCCATCTGAACCCAAAACTCCAGCTGAACCAAAAATTTGCAGCAAAGTTCACCGCCACCCGTGATGATCAGGGCAGGGACAGATGAACTGACTGAGGCCACATCTGTACAGTGGTACCTCAGGTTACATACGCTTCAGGTTACATACGCTTCAGGTTACATACGCTTCAGGTTACAGACTCCGCTAAGCCAGAAATAGTGCTTCAGGTTAAGAACAGGATGAGAACAGAAATCGTGCTCCGGCGGTGCAGCAGCAGCAGGAGGCCCCATTAGCTAAAGTGGTGCTTCAGGTTAAGAACAATTTCAGGTTAAGAACGGACCTCCGGAACGAATTAAGTACTTGACCCGAGGTACCACTGTATTCACAGGCACATTTAAAGCAATATGATACTATTTTAAAACAGCCATGACTTCTCTAGAAAACTCCTGGGAACTGTAGTTTGTGAAGGGCACCGAGAGTCTTTGGGAGACTCCTGTTCCCCTCCCAGAACTACAGTTCCCGGAGTGGTTTAACAATCCATCCCTCTTTGCAGGGAACTCTGGGAACTGTATTTCTGGGAGAGGACTAAGGGGTCTCCTCACAGCTCTCAGTGCCCTTAGCAAACTACAGCTCCCATAATTCTTTGGGGAAGCCCTGAAATGATCTCACAGTGCTTTAAATGTATGGCCTGACTGGGCGGCCATCTCACCCCGTTCCAAAAGCATTCTGGCACATTCACATGAGCTGGAAATCTGAAAGATGAAACACCCATTTCCGCAAACGCCCTGAACACTTGGAAAATTAAACAATGGGGCATTTGTACATACTCACAGTTGGCTCTACATATTTAAGCTAGGCAGGCAGAGTTGGACCGTGAGTTCTGGCCCACCCTTTGATGTCACACACACCGCACTCTAATAACTGTGTCCATTTATTTATTTTGTTTCTCTCCTGCCTCACCTCAAGATAGCGTCAACCCTATGAGGTAGACCAGAGGGAGGGAGAGAGACAGTGACTGGCTTAGGGTAAGCCAGTATGATTCACAGCTGAGTGGGCATTTGAACCCAAGACTCCCGGCTTCTAGTCCAACCACGACACCACAGTGACTCCCCAGCAAGCTATATTAGATATTTTAGAGGGGGGATGATTGGGTGCCATTTTCTCTGCACTGCCCTCTCTGGGACATGAGAGTGCCTCCTGAACAGCATCCCTCAAATTCTGAAGTTCCTTCCTGAAAGAGGTTCAGTTCCCCTCCACTGTCACCTCTCTTGAGCTTTAGGAGGGTGACAAAGACTTTATTATTATTATTAAACTTTGACTTTAATCTCTTTTAACCTCCTGTTTTGGTGATGTATTTTTAAACGGAGCCAGCTGTTTTATGTGGCTGTTGTGCTGCTGTCTTAATGATGGAAGGGAGATACTATATTTGTTTTATTTATCAACATGTGGTATCTAATTTTTAATTTCACTGGGTGATATCTGGGGCAGAGGGTTATTTCTTTGTGTGTGGGGGGGTGAGAATGTCAAGTCCAGTGAGGAACTGTAGAGGAACATAAAGGTGGATTTCATTTGATGGGGTGGGGGAGAAAGTCAATTCAGTTAGCACTGATAGGCAAAACTACCCAGTTTGCAGATTCTGAAACAGTAAGTGGACCAAAACGTCTTGGCCCAGTATACCTGAAGGAGTGTCTCCACCCCCATCGTTCAGCCTGGACACCGATTTCCAGCTCCAAGCGCCTTCGGCGGTTCCCTCCCTGTGAGAAGTGAGGTTACAGGGAACCAGGCAGAGGGCCTTCTCGGTAGTGGCGCCTGTGGAACGCCCTCGCATCAGATGCCAAGGAAAAAACAACTATTGTTGGTGCTGATCTTTAAAGCACTAAACAACCTCGGCGCAGTATACCTGAAGGAACGTCTCCACCCCCATCGTTCTGCCTGGACACTGAGGTCCAGCGCCAAGGGCCTTCTGGCGGTTCCCGCACTGCGAGAAGCCAAGTTACAGGGAACCAGGCAGAGGGCCTTCTCGGTGGTGGTGCCCGCCCTGTGGAACATCCTCCCACCAGATGTCAAAGAGAAAAACAACTACCAGACTTTTAGAAAACATCTGAAGGCAGCCCTGTTTAGGGAAGTTTTTAATGTTTAATTCTATTTTTAATATTCTGTTGGGAGTCACCCAGAGTGGTTGGGGAAACCCAGCCAGATGGGCAGAGTAATAATAATAATAATAATAATAATAATAATAATAATAATTACTGCCCCCAGGAAGGTTGTGGGCAGCCTGCAAGATTTCTCCATTTATACATGTGTATAAATCCTTATCTGGGTTAATGGGGGGCCCTGGGGAGTCTTGCTCAAGGACCCCCCCCCCTGAAAATCCTGGAGAGAGTAACAGTCTGTTTCGACTACAGGGGATATCTCCAAGGCTCCTCATATGGGGCATTTAATTTTGATCAGGGAGATACAGTTTAAATAGACATAAATGGTCTTTGCTGAAATTGGCCTGACCCAGAGTTCATAAATCATCACGAGTGAATTATGAAGCAAGCCTTCGTCCGCTGTGCTGATTTTTCAATGCAACACGCAACCTACAAACGTGGACCTCACTGTGATAGATACACTTGGACCTAGTTCTTGCTTTGGTTCAATTGCTGCACACATTGAATCCCAACCGACTCTGAGTAAAATGGTCCTTAATCAATTAGCTCTTCCCTCCCAACCCCCTTCCAATAAAACTTTTAAGGGCCATTATTGAGATCAAATGCCTGATTAAACTTTTAAAGGTGTTAATGTTTAACTCGAGTGCCAAGTGATTAATTGCCCTTAAATATATTTGTGTAACCCCTGGGAGAGGAAGAGGCAGCGAGTTCGAAGCACGCTCTTCGCTCCAGTGGAGGGGTTCCTTTCCTTCCCACCTTGTTTTCCAGGGTGACACCATCCATTATCCTTGCGTGCCAGCCTCTGAACTCACACCAGACTCCGATTTCTGTGCGCACCAGAGGAGCAAATCAGAGGCTGAAGGAAGCAAGTTCCAGCAGAGTAGCCTTCCCCAAGTGGCGCCCTCCAGATGTTTTGGAATACGGCTCCCATCAGCCCCAGCCAGCATAGCTCTGCTGACTAGGGCTGAAGTTATCAAGCAACCATCATAACTAGGAACCATGGATAGGTTTGCTGTCCGATCCAGTTTTAAAGTCTCCCGAGGGCCAAGCTCAATTTGGTCACCATTCATGCAATTAAAAATCACTCTATCTACCTATCTATCTATCCATCCATCGATCTATCTATCTATCTATCTATCTCAATCACTTCCCTCTGCAGCATGCGCAGAAACCACCTTCTTTCCAATAAACATTTGTAAAAAAAGCCTGAAGCAGTCTTGTTAGGGATTGTAGGAAAAGACCTGCCAAGGAAATTGAAAAACATCTTCATGTATGCGACAATGGCGGCAAGAGTCTTAATAGCACAAGGATGGAAGAATGAGGAAATCCCGACCAAAGAACTGTGGCAAGAGAAACTGATGGACTATGCGGAATTGGCGAAATTGACACACAAACTGCCTGATAAGGACAACTGTGACTTTAAAGAAGAATGTGGGGCATAGGAATTCGTTCATTTTTTAAAAAAAAATAGTCCAGCCCCCCACAAGGTCTGAGGGACAGTGGACTGGCCCCCTGCTAAAAAGGGTTTGCTGACCCCTGCTCAAGTCAGACAGGTGCCAACAACAACACACACACACACACACACACACACACACACACTAATTAGGGTTGCCATATTTTGAAGAGCCCAAATGAGGACACATTTGCCGACTTCTGTTTTCAGCTATGAATTGCTATGACGACTGTCATTTTACATACCCATGAAAAAGAGGCGGTGTCCTGGAAAAAGAGGGCATATGGCAACCCTACAGCCGAATCAGAATCCTGGTGGAGAGGAAAGAGAGAAGCTCTTTGTGTGTAGGGCCATCCCACGTGGCTGTCACCTTGCAAGCAAAAGCTTTATTTATTTATTTATTTATTTATTTATTTAATGATATTTATTAAAATTTCAAAGAAAAGAAAAAGATTACACTAATAAGAAAATTAACAATAAAAAGAAAAAATACAAAATACAAAAAAAGAAAAAACAGTTAAAAACAATTCCATCTTTTCATCACTTCTCTTACATTTACTTGTTTCCCGGACCTCCTCATACCACCCTCTTTTGTATTCCAATTCAATTTGTTAGTCCAACAATTCCTTTCCCTCCTTTTTAATCCTGATCTTTAATCTTGATATATTATAACATTAAATTTTTACGTATTAAAGATCAATTTTTCCATATTCTTTTATACCATTACAGCTAGAAACCACTTAACTTCAATCCGACATCATTCTAACATTCATTAATTTTACAATATTTCTGTAAGTAGTCTTTAAATTTCTTCCAATCTTCTTCCACCGACTCTTCTCCCTGGTCTCGGATTCTGCCAGTCATTTCCGCCAATTCCATGTAGTCCATCATTTTCATCTGCCATTCCTCCAGTGTGGGTAGGTCTTGTGTCTTCCAATGCTTTGCAATAAGTATTCTTGCTGCTGTTGTAGCATACATAAAGAAAGTTCTGTCCTTCTTTAACACCGATTGGCCGACTATGCCCAGGAGGAAGGCCTCTGGTTTCTTCAAGAAGGTATATTTAAATACCTTTTTTAATTCATTATAAATCATCTCCCAGAAAGCCTTAATCCTTGGGCATGTCCACCAAAGGTGAAAGAATGTACCTTCAGTTTCTTTACATTTCCAACATTTGTTATCGGGCAAATGGTAGATTTT